CAAAAATACTGCTGTGACCAACGGTCCAATCGTATGTAACGAACTACTGTATCCTATACCTGCCTCGTGACCGCTTACGTAAGCGTACGCGTCGGTTAATAAGTTAATAAATTAATCCAAATCCCCTAGAATAACCAAAAATTTTTGGCTAAAAAACACCAATATAACGGAGTCTAACGGCTAAAAAACCACCAATTTTTGCCCTAGCGCCCTTGGTCACAGATGGCCTGCATAAATCCGAACACAATTCTCTGTTAGATTTGCATGCGGTTCGGATTCCAGCGCGCTAATCAAGTTCCTTCTATGTGGCTTTTAATAACTTTCGAAAGTTTCTAGCTGTTAGTAATCTACTTTTTGTCCGTGTTATGTTATGATCGCCACACCATAGTACCCACCCCCCTGGACATAGAGTACACGAAGGGTCTATGTAATAATATACCTCAAAACTCACGTGCAGTTCCTCTTCATTCTGTGAGTACACGTGCTTCTTTCAGGCACAGCTGCGTGACTGATGGAATGACTCAGGACACTCCGGCAAAATCAATATTCAACTTCTCTTGTCATCTTGCTAAGATATCAAAGTTGGCCTGAATTCAGTTCACTTAAATGACCAAATGGCTCAAAACTACTTGAATTATTCTTGGCTGTCTGTCATACTGTCATACTGAAGGCTGATAGTGAAACTTGACACTTGACAATGACACTTGATACGCGCGCATTAGATTACATAATCATTTAACTCAGGATAAAGTATAAAAGAGGCAGAAGAACTGTTGCATTAGCATCAGTGCAGTTGAAGTGACAGGAACTAAAAGACTCTTGGAATCATTACAGTTTAATAATCACCATGAAGTGTAGCTTGTTGGCGTGTCTTGCTCTCCTCATTGTCTCCTCTTACAGTTTTCCAATGTTGGAGCTCAAACCTGCAGTCAAGCTTCCAAAACCAGACCTTGGAAATCTTGTAGAAGTTGCCAATTCCCTTGGCTTGACTAAGTTGTTAAGCACTGCTAAAGCAGCTGGTATCGCTCAAGTTCTAGAGATGGACAAATCACTGACTTTGTTTGGCCCCACCGACGAAGCATTCGATACGATCCCCGAAGCCTACAAACCTATGTTGGCAAACTCCACCTTCTTGAAGGAGGTTTTACTATTTCATGTCATAAAGTCAGTAGTGTACGCTAATGCCATCAAGTATCTTGGATATGCCCAAGAAGAACATACGATTCAATGTGTACGATGGTGGAAAGGTAAGAGAGTTTAATTGATTTTCTAAATAAACCAGAAATGATTCATAAAACTGTGCATAAATTTAAAGGGTGTAGGGCGGATAGGGTGACCTGCAATCCAGGTCATAGTTCTTTGTAGCCGATATAGCACCCTCCTCCCCCCCTCGGGTATAGCAATGCTCCTATTCGCTTCAAATATCTTTTTTCTATGCATTCTGGTCTAGTTTGGTTACAACCAGCGTTAAAGAAGCCATGAAGAACAAAAGGTGTCTTTGCCGAAGCTAGACTATAATGAACCCATATCAACTATTCAACTTGCTCGATTAACAAAATGCATTTGTGGTCTAGCTTTGGAACAAACAACAACAAATATGAAAGCATGAATGTTTGTACCTAAGCTAGACTGCGATGCACCATATTCGCTTTCCCATTAAGGGCCACAGGTACTGTATGTGATGATGAGTCCCAGGCATCCCTTGGGAACCCAATTTCACCTCATTAACTGATTTACTCGTGCGCACTAGATCGTCACTGCACAGTGTAGTCCAATCATCAAAGTCAATCAGAATGCTTCAAATGGAGTGATCCACGTGGTCAATCGAGTCATGATTCCACCATTCGGCACCGTTACAGACGTCGTCTCGATGGAAAAGCAATACTTCAGTACCCTGCTAACAGCTGTGCTCACTGCTAAACTACAGGACGTATTGGCAGGACCAGGCCCTTTCACTGGTAAGTGAGTGAAACCTACCACAGGTAGCCCAATGATTGGTTAGGTTTTTTTCTTTAGGGAAGCTTGGTACGGTTTTAATGGGCCGAGGCCGATTTGCAGTAAACTATGTTAAAATGGTTGTAGCCCTGCCCCTTTTACTCTTAGAGACTCATGACGCTCCTATTAAGTCAACAAGGAATTATCTCGTCAAAATCTCATCAAAATTAAGAGGCTTGACCCTCCACAAGAGTTCACATTTTTACTAATGACCCTCCCCTCTGAAGCACCAGTTCCCCCTCCCCCCAAGGAAAACCCACCTTACCTTACCACAGGAAGCCCAAGCGTAACAGGTAGTACCATCGCACGTACTGTGTAGCTTCTCCTACCGTACCTCTGTTTCCAACAAATATTTTCTATTTACCTTCATACAGTATTTGCACCAACCAACAATGCTTTTGCCAAGATTCCCGCCGAAAAGCTGAAAGAAATCCTCAAAAACATCCCATTGTTGACCAAGATCCTCAAATACCACGTGGTACCCGGGACCTTCTGCTCGGCGGGTCTCGCAAATGGGGCGACTGTGCCCACCCTAGAGGGGAGTGACGTTACTATTCACATATCGAGCGGATCAGTGTCTGTGAACGATGCCGTTGTTGTCTTTATAGATATACCTGTTACCAATGGCGTTGTTCATGTTATTGACACTGTTTTGATCCCAAAAGACGTTGAGATTTAAATTACATTCATTATATTTTAAAAGCGTAACTCAATAAAAGTAAGGAAAAAATGTAAGAAGTTGTTGGATTACTTCTAAATTTTAGACTGACGTAAGTCATATAGTTCTAAAATGTATATTACAAAAACAAAAACTTGAAAAAAAATGGTCTTTCTGAATTTCTAGCTTTTTTCTTTTCAGAAGTCCTTATTTCTAAAACAATATGAATATATTTTGTGAATTATGAATTTTTTAGCCTGTGTACAAAAAAAACGTTTTTTCCCCGAAGGGGGGAGGGGTGGGAAGCGGCTGTACACAGGCTATGAATATTTTAACATGAGAGCATTTTCATCATAATTAGTCCATCACTTTTACCTTTTTTACTCCATTGTTTTAACTTTCCGTTTATGTTTTCAGTTCTCTTTTCTCCCCGAATTTGAAAGTCCGTAAGCAAAAGTCATGATCGGCTTAGATACATGCATGCGCATATTCAAAACAAAACAAAACAAACAAACAAACAAAAACAAAAACAAAAAAAATTAACAGGCTGCAGAAATGAATTTGAATTTTGAGTACTTTGAAAAAGTGGAAGAAACTATAAGTCAGATAACTGATTACAGTGGTCCAGAGGTACAACACAGAAATCCAAATCCAAATACAAGAATCCAAATCCAAATATATACGAATATTTTACGAAAAACACAGATGCAGTACGATGTGAATGCCATGCGTATAAGCGGGAGTCGGTCTTCTTTAGAGGTGACGTATAAGGAGTGTTCGTATCGTGATCACTCTATTATTGACCGGGAGTTCATTACATAACTATATATTTACACGTGAGCTTTTCATCTGAGGGGATCCACACACTTGTTTTATAAAACTATAATAGCACTGAAGAAAAGGAGGGAAAGTGAAATAAGGCTCAGTTCAGATAGCCTTCCTGAATTTGAACGCCGAATCCTCGCAGGGGAGGGGTGCAGGGGGTGCGCAACCCTCCCTGGTTCGACTTTGTGCCTTTACTTCGAAGATAACCAATACTGTTTTTTTTCCCCTTTGATTCTAAGGGGTGCACCCCTCCCTGGGTTAACTATGTGCGCAGTACCCCTAACTGAACAAAATCCTAGATCCGTCCCTGCCTTGGTAGGTTTTTGTGGTCGGATGCGCGCAAAGAAGAGATTTGTACTACTGTAATGCATAAATAATTTTCGAAAGTTTCTGGCCATCAAGTTACATTTTGCCCGTGTAATTTTTCGTTCGGCACTCTATTATCCCCCCCCCGGACACAGAGTGCACGAGGGATGTATAATAATACTTCCAAACTCACGTGCAGTTCATCTTCATTCTCTTACAACACGTGCTTCTACCAGGCACTGCTGCGTGACTTACGGAAATAAATCTTAGCAACATCAATATCTGTCTAAGTTTTCTTGTCACCTTGCTCAGATGTCAAAGACTGAATGACTCAGGACTTTAATAGACATCACTACATTCGTATTTAAATTGCCCATTTCAAACCATATGATCTTTTCATGGTGTTCTCTGGAGAAATGTTTCTGTCAAATGTTATATCTATCCACATGAATATGAACGAATATATTTCAGAAAGATAAAGGAACGATTCTCTAGAGAACATCATGTAAACATCACATGGCTTGAAATGGGTAATTTACATACGAAAGTAATAAGTCTATTATCCTTGGCTGTCAGTCATAAAGGTTTATATTTTGAAACTACAAATATGTTTGGACTTAGCCTGCAAGGTAAGTGACACTTGATACGCGCGCGCCTTTTCATTAGGTTACATAATCATTTAACTCAGGAAAAGGTATAAAATCACCAGGAGAACTTTATCTCTTGCATTTGCATACTTGCACTTGAAGTGACAGGAACTGAAAGACTCTTGGAATCATTACAGTTTAATAATCACCATGAAGTGTAGCTTGTTGGCGTGCCTTGTTGTCCTCATTGGCTCCTCTTACAGTTTTCCAATGTTGAAACTCAAACCTGCAGTCAAGCTTGTCAAACCAGGCCAAAACCTTGGGAATATTGTAGAAGTTGCCGATTCCCTTGGCCTGACTAAGTTGTTAAGCACTGCTAAAGCAGCTGGTATCGCTCAATTTCTAGAGATGGGCAAGTCTCTGACTTTGTTTGGCCCCACCGACGAAGCATTCGATACGATCCCCGAAGCCTACAAACCTATGTTGGCAAACTCCACCTTCTTGAAGGAGGTTTT